CGTCGACATTCGAAGGACGAACGAAAAGAAGAGGGACGATCCTTGTGATCATTGGGACGGATGAGCTTGTAGCAATGCAAGCCCTGAACCGCTGACTGTCATCGAAGATTCAAGATTCAGCAAGTGTGTGGACTAACATTTAGAAAAGAAAAACACTACAGTAAGTCAGATGAAAGCAGTTGAAGCACCAAGTCGGAATCTCCTTGCATCATTCAGCCAACAAACTCACTTTCCCAGCACAGAGACCATTCGCACAGGCATAAATAAAATTCTGAAGTATGATAGCAACATACAAAAGTCAGCAGTCAGCGCACACACACACATGTTACTACTGACTTGCAGTAGCAACCGATCAACAACAACACATGATTCAGGTTACCCCGGACAATGCCCAGGGATTAAACTTCCTGGCTGCTGCAGCAGCTCACAGTATCACATGCAGGGCTCAAGACACACCCTAACTTTGCTGAGTGAAATACCATCAGGTCTGTAATTCAGGCTGCTCCACCGCAGTCAGATCAACTCTCAGATGCAGCACACCGTCAATGAAGAGGCTGTCGTCCGCAATGAACGTCGACCATGGAACTCCAAAAAGATCATCGCATCCCTCCAGCAAAGACCCGCTGAATGTGTGCCTACCGCCGTACTTGCTCAAGAATTTTCCTGACGATCTTGTCCTTGCAGCAAACTCAATATCGAAACACGACGAGCCTGAGATAGAATTTCCATATATCCCTAACCAGAGGCCAAAGCTGTACAACCCTGTCTCCTCATCCAGTACCCAGTTTGCCATGAGATAGAATTTCTGACCTGCGAGATTGAACCAGTCCGACAATATAACTCCTGATGGGAAGAATCCGGAGCATTCGGCACGCGTTAGATCCATGTAAACTATAACCTGTGGGTAAGGTCGATCAAACGCAACCGCTTTCACATGTTTGGACCCGTAAGTTCGCTCAACAGATTGCCAATCGAGAGTTGATACATCTGCTGCAAGAGCACCTTCCATCTGGGTTGGGTAAGCTTTGTGGAGGAGGACCTCATTGATGTGCTTGGTTACTTGCTCACGGTCTATATCATCATCAGTGCATGCTAGGATCTCCTGAAGTGCGGCACATGTCATATGACTGAAGCGTACCAGCGGAAGCAAACGGCTGCTCAAGATCTCGCGTCTTTCCTCCGGTTCCAGGTATCGCGCACGGGCCCACTCGAGCAAGAAGTTATATACCGCATCTTCAGATGCTACTTGTATGTCAGTGCTCGAAAAGATCGCCTCGATTCCAGAAAGAGAGATGTTCATCACTTCTTCAAACCTGAAATGGGACAAACCATGCCATGAGTACACTTCATGCACATTACAATGGCCAATGCCTACATTTTTCTACGAAATGAAAAATAAAAATTGCTCCATCAAATGGGGATCACTCACTTGTCTAAAATCTTGTATTTCTCAGCAAGGAATTCCCTGGCTGCACCTACCACACTCTGAACTTCAGCAGCCATTGAAAGGGAGCATGGATGGTCTAGGTATAGCAGTGCAGATTCTGTGGTCATAGGCAGGCTTCTGAGCAGCTGACTGCAGTACCTCATGCAAGAAAGAACCTCAAATTTGTCGGCAGCCATTAAGATGTCGAGCAGAAGAGTGGGCTCAATTGTTGTCAACTTTCCACTGTACATGAAGCTTAAAAGCTCCATAAAGGCTTTTTCCTCTGTTCCAAGTAGAATGAAAACAGAAAAATCATAAGAGAGCAGTTCAACAAATAAGCAAAAAAAAGGACACTCTTTTTGTACCCTAAATAATTTTCGAAGTTGACTACTGACTTACAGTATTGACAAACGCTCCATGGGAGATTAACTTTTTTTCTAATCACAGAAAAATTATATGTATAGTACTACAGAAAACATATGAGTTGGGAGGAATCCAAGCGATCTCAATCATTCAATACAATCAGATCCAATGGCTGATAATTGCATATGAAAAAATAAACTTAAGAGAGAGTTCCCTGCTTAAGAGTGAGTTAATTAATCCACGATTTGCCCACATCGATGACTAAAAGAGACGACACATATCAGTGGATATTTAGATAGTGCATGGTACATGCAATATATACAGTGTGCATGCTGAATTACCAGTAAATTTAAGTGCAGAGACTATAAAAGATAATCTTTTATTTACCATAAATAATCTTATGACAAAAAATAGTAACACAACCAAAGTAGCAAATAAGAATAAAATATAAGAGGAAGAATGTTACAGTTAAGCTATCACATTACCTGAATCAGCAATCCTGATTCTTGGATGCGTCTGATCAGATTCATTCATGCCATTTGAGAAAAGCTAAGAAACATGAAGCTTATCAGAAACTTGAACCGATCATACAAATGTATTTCACATGGTTATAAAATTACCTTTAGAAAGAAACGACTTCCTGCAGCAAGAATCGCTGAATTGATATGAAGGGTCTTTACTGTTAAAATTGGTGTACTTGCCATGGTTGAGAAACAGTCTATCTGTCCATTATCAGCTGCAAAATACCAAGATCAGTGAAATACAAGACAACTAGGAGAAGTAAAAGGTAAGCAATTAAACCATTGGACATATTTTCTTCTGTGAAAATACTTGAAACACTCTGTTCAATGGTGCAGATTCATTTAATCACTCTTCAGATATGTGGTAAATGGTTAAAATAATATCACAAAAATTGAACGGCAATTTAGCTGCAGCCAGCAATCTAAGCATGCTTGTAGCTCAGTGAGCAAAGAGATCATAGATGTCATCCCAAGGATCCTACTGGAATTTCGTATAAGTTCGTCAGATAAGTATTTGACACAAGCCGAACTTAGGCAATGCCTTTTGTAAAGCTTCACTGCAAACTTGACCAGGAATTGTAACAAGAATATTAGAATTATAACATCAAGTAGTAGAACCGTCAGCTGGGATAGCATCTTTTCAAGTTTTCTGAGTCGCGTGATTCGCACCCATTGTCCTGTGGCTAGTCTCAGTTGCAGTGGATTGATTGTATTCTACTTCTGCAGGAACAGGGGATTGATATGTTTGAACACCGCAGCTAAATCCAAATACTAAATATTTGTTGCATCAATCATCATCAACCAAGCCCTCCCGTGGATCGCAGGCACAGCGGCGGCAGCGGCCTTTGCCGCCAGCACGCTGGGAACCACTGGGCATGGCATGGGACATCGTTGCGGCTCAGCCAGTCTTCTAGCGGCAGGGGGCTCAGCGCCTCCCGGCGGTGCCTGCACGTCGAGCGCCCACCAGCGCGCCGTTGGCCGGGCGCTGGCGAGGCCACCAAGGTGGCCGCGCTCCAGACCATGTGCGTTCTCCTCCGAACACCCACCGGTGCCGTTGGAGGAGGAGTCCCGGACACCGCCCGCATCGACGACCTTCGCGACGTCCCGGACCGTAAGAGGCGCTTTCGATGGGGGGCACCGGCAGGTGGTGCCCGGTGGATCTTTCCACCAGGAACGACCTCGAGGACTGCCGGGAAGTTGAGGCCCTCGTCAACACTAGCCTGTTTGGTAAACACTCAGGCAAAGGAATGGGAGTTTGCACAAAGGTGTTTATGAAGGGATTAGGCATGGGAAGTAGATTTTTACTTTCATTTCCTTGTTTGGCATATGATGGGAATTGGCGTGGGATAAAACTCTCCTCACGAATTAACAGGGTACCCCCTGAGAAGAAATCGGTGGGAATTGACTTCCCCAACTCCCAGTCCCCTTCCCACTTAAACTCCCATTCCCTCTAATCAAACAGTGGATTTTTAATCTCCTTACCCCTCAACTCCCATTCCCCATTTTTAATTCCCCTGAACCAAACACGCTGTAGGCGTCGGGCCCACCTGGGAAGACGTCGCGGGGCGGGACCTGACCAGAACGGGCAACTCCAACGTGCGACCCCAACATGCCGTGGTGCGAATCTGATCAGAACTGGCGTCATCACCGACGGAAGGGCCAGAAGGAGGACAAGGGTGGACGTGGCGCGCGTTCGTATCATGCGCATCGACGGAAACCCGACCCAAATTCAGGCTAGAAGTGGGTCCTGGGCAGATGGAAAACGGATGGTCGTTTGTTTGTGTCGGCACATTAGGCCCTTTTTGTGTCAATTTCGGTCTAAACGGATATGCACAGACAAAATGCGTCGGCGCGTTGGAGTTGCCATTAGGTGGTCTCCATTCACCTTTTTATGACGGATGGATTCAGCGACACAGTTAAAGAGATGGCATTGCACCGCTAAAGGGCAACGCCACCAACTCCTATGAAATACACGGTGCCTAGGCTGGCTAGGCCCGGGCAGGTCGAGAGGAGGGGGCATTTGACCCCGATCACACCACATGCGCCAAAGAGTGTATACTATGGCTCCTCTCATGTTAAATAAGGGGCAAACTGAAGCCCAAGGGGGAGGAAAACCTTGTTATCACACACACACCACTTGTCTTCAGAAGTAAGAACTAGCATGTAGGACGTACAGTGTTACACCTTTTTGGTGACATGAACCTGGATAAATAAAGGCTCAATCTCTCAAGTGTTCTAAAGTGTTTGACCCCCGACTGAATCTCTAAAAAGGGATCCCCACAATCTTTGATCTTGACGATCACCCATCGACATAAGATCTCACGTGCAAAACTTATACTAGCAGTCTGGTGTTTCACTGTTGCCTCAATCACTAATCCCTGACAAATGGATCTGCCATGTAACCGCATATGTGCTAGTGCCAAATTTATCTCTATGCAACAAGTATTTGAACTACTTGAACAAAATTAGTTATCAAGCAGGCTAACAATGACCTTAAGGCCTCATTTGGCAGCATGGGATGGGATCCGGATCCATTCCTTGGAAACTCCCACCCGGTGGTAGACATTCCCCGTTTTTTCTGTCGTACCATTTGATCGAGAGGTGGAACGAAAAAATTCGTTCGCTTTCTATGAATTTCCTGGGAGGAAAAAACGCCTTTCCACTTGTGGATGGAGTTCCCCGTCTCTTACATGTTGTCTCTGGACAAGTTAACGCACTCCTGCCCGTCACCCTGACGCCGGTCTATGCTAGAGGACAAACTTTTGCCCGTCTTTCCCCCATAGTGAGTGAACCAAATGGTGGTAAGCGGAGCTGTGGTTTTCTACCATGGATTCCTGTGTGATGGGAAAAAAATTCCTACCATGAATTGTCTCCCCGGGTCCTATATCCCCTACGGCCAAACAAAGCCTAAATGTTTCGATGCACACAAAACAAACTAACATAGATTAACAAAGAAAATGTCGCACTAACATAGGTGTACACCACATCAACACACGCATTAGCACATAACTTATGGGTTCCCTCTATTGCCCCCATGTTATACTAACACGGTAAGCTGCCTTAACGAAGGGTCAGCCTGAGCTGAAATGAAATTACCCGACCATTCCAAATCAAAACAAATCAAGCGCAACAACCCCATATGCCCACACAAATTAACGTATGCATCGAATTAAATATGCATGCAATTCTAAATGGCCAAACATATCGAACCCAGGGGTGGGCTCCACGCACCTTTCTTATTGTCATCGCCTATGAGGAGAGACCCTCCACCGACATCGCCGCCGGTGATGACCTCTATCTGCATCACCATGTTGGAGAAGACCTCCGAATTGAAGGCGAACTCAAAGTTGGGCACCCCGACGCGAGTTGACAATAACTCTAGGTCCATCTCGGCCTCCACCTCCGCCGACACCAACGCAGTCATCATGTTTTCACCGCCGGCCATGCACTCCGCACCTCTAAAAGAGGAAGCAGGCGTATGGGACCGTGGAGGTTGATCCCGACTCGCGGAGGATTCTTCGAGAAGACAAGAGAACGAGGTCAACCGGGATGATTTAACTTTATTTGAGGGATCCCGGATGGGTTTGCTTGTCACACTTATCTTAATCATAATGGTTTTTATAATTATGGTTGCTATTAATTGCTACAAGTGAGAGCACAAGTAACGCCAAAATGAACTCCGCGTTTAGGGATGCGGGCAAACGACCCATGAGCCCTTCGGTCGCAATCACGCGGTTGCATAGAGTCATGGGCAATAATTAGCTACTTAATGGGAAGGTTTCCGTTTCCACTCGATTTGAGGGTAGGTGGGCGTTGAGCGCGTTTTGCTCTCTTGCGTGATCTATTTTTTCATATGACGTGGTCGGTCCAATGAACGTCTTACTATTTCTTTTGCCAAAAATGATGCAAGTGTTGGAGTCGATCTCATTACTCTGCCATTGACATTAGCGGCACTAGCCATTTGGGCTAGCACCACTGTTGGTAAAAAAATTGAACTACAACTTTATTTGTACGCAAAAGTTATATGACAATCAATAAAATTCCTTCTTAGGAAAAAGTAATGCAGGCGGAGATTTTATCCCTGGTTGTTAGAAACAGGCCAAAGCATCCACCATGATCTAGTAGCCAACTCATCACTAATTCTTTTTGTTAAGTGAAAAAAGTTGAAAGTGGATTTATATTTATAGTGAAATGGTATTTCTAAAGATTGTAGTATCTCTTGCATATTTATAAAGTGGATTACACTACTTCACAAATACTTCCTCCACCCCATAATATAAGACCTTTTTGCAAGCTGTTTTAGCTTGCAAAAACATTTCATATTTTGGGACAGAGGGAGTAGTATTTTTCGCATATCTTACACTTCTTCACACTTCTACTAATGATGGTTGAAAGTTGAAAGTGGATTTATATTTAAATAGTATTTCTTGCATATAGCTCATTTGAAGCGTTGTAAGCTAGAAGTGGATTTATATTTAAATATTATTTTTGGTGTGATGGAAATGTGATTAGTGGAAATAATGATGGTTGCTAAGGTGTACATGGGGTCATTGGTTCCTCGGAGATTGATTGAGGCGATGGTTAACACACCCCCCCCCCCCCACACACACACTACAGAATGGTTAAAGGCGTGGTTTTCTAGCGAATCAAAGCTTTGGTTTCAATTTATTCGAGTCACAGAAAAACCGCTCTATCAAGAGGGGTCGAGCAACCTTCAAGCCTTGTTAGCAGCCACCATTCCCAAACCTCTTTTTTCTCAACACTTTATATTCACTACTACAGGATGCTGCTAACGTGACACTACGATCACAGACCCTTTGACGAATATCACACCCAAGCTAGTTCATGCATTAGAGTGCTTGCATCATGTTTAAATTATCAGAAACTTGGAAATGGGGATGACAGAACCCCCAGCACCCCCTGAAACCAACTAGGATTTACTAAAAATATTTTCAATGAACCTGAAATGCCCTTCTAAAATGTTCATCATCTTTGCCTTGGTCCTAAACCTCTGACAAAAATGGTGCACAAATTTTTAGGTCATCCTAAGGTCACTAGATTAAATCATTAGTTATTCGAATTTGGGCATTTAAATGCTAATAAATATTTTAAATGCTCAAATAATCCTAAACTAAAATGTTACATGTTGGATTTATTCCAAACAGTGGCCATGTGAAGTTTGGTGATTTTTGAAAGTGCCTAGCTATTTTTAGAAATGCCACAAACTTGTAGGAAATAAAACAAAACAGAATTAAATAAAAGAGAAGAGCTTACCTGCCCGCAGCCCACCTCCCGGCCCACCTGGTGGCCCAGCACTGTGCTGGCCCGTGCCAGCCAGCCGCTTCCTCTCACTAGGCAGGCAGGCAGGAGGTGACGCCGGCGCGCGAGAGCTCGCCACCGCGCCACCTGCTTGCCGCTTCACCCCTGGACACCTGGGCGAGCTCCACGTCGCCGCCCC